ATTATTGCACTTTGTTAAACAATACTGCATTCAACAGCCAAGAAATGTGGGAAGAACCTTTAAAAAAAGGTTTATGAAATAAAGAATATTGCACCTGTGTTATCAAAGAGACAAAAGGTAAGTATTGCAAAGCTGTGCAAAGCTTTGGTTGCCAATTTGATTCGGCCTGATTCAGTGGTCAAATCTCTGAATCCGGATCAATTAAAGGGTCTCCCGATTCGAATCAGAACCCTCCAAATTGATTCGGAGAGATTCAGAAAGATTTGGTAATTTGGACAAAGATAGAGCTTTAAATGTTTTTTCCACATACCACAAGGTACCAGGAGGCTTGTGGATGCCGAGATGGTGGAGTGGATGGAGCGCCTCACAGGAGCACAGGGGAGTCCCCCGCACGCAGGGCAGCAGACCCAGAAGTGGACCAATTTACTGTGAGACTTTCAGCAGTTCATTAAACTTAAAAGCTTACAACTAAAGAATTTTTTTTGCAAAAATCTTGTTGGACTAATAAAAGATCTCTCTACTACGAGTCCTGATTGCCTTATGCTCATGATAGATTTCACTAGTTTTCTATTGAGATGGCTTTTGGACATATATTTTTTGCATTACAGTTGAAATATTTGAGTGAAATTAATGTATTACACAAATGATTTGTAGTAGCAGTAACATGACAGTATTGCCTTAGGCTTGTATTGGGCTCTTCTAAGGTACTTCAAAATTCAGGAAATACTGAAAAAAGGCAGTCATGAGCTTTGTGCTTCTGAGTATGTAAAAGAGGGTTTTCTTTTCGAAGTAGGTAATAGATTCCAAACATCTTGTGCTTAATTACTTGGGAGACTTTGCCCTTCAAAAGTCAAAATAGTTATCTAGGTCAGATACGTAATTCAGCTGATTTAGCTCTTTGAAGAGGTAGGCAAATAAAGAGTAAGATATAACAGATCCATAGTATTAAGCTTAGAGGTCAATAAAGCACTTATAAAATCACTGGCGATTAAAGCTGGGATTTAAGACTGGAGGGATATACTCAAATTATCTTGTGCCTCCAACTACAGCTTGTAAATAGAACAGTTTTCCGACTCCGTTTGCTTAACCTGCTCATTGCATACTTACTAGGGGCGTGCGAAATGGGCCGTACCCGATTGGGTTTCGGCCCAAATCAGGGGCAGCGATTTGATTCGTATCACTGTTCCAATTCGATTTGGCTAAAACCAAATCTGAAGATTCGATGCTGATTTGGAGAATCAGCAATTCGGCCATAGACACAGCTTTAAATGTTTTTTCTACATACCTCGACCTGCCGGGCACGGCTTGTATCCCACAGGAGCGCAGGGGGCCCCCTTCATACTTGGTGGCAAACCCGGACATGGACCAGAAAGACTTAACATATGGCTGCAGGATCAAGTTAGGGAGGAACCTCCCATTTCTACAAAACAGGCATTAAGCCCCAACACCTCAGCAGGTACTAAGCCATGCCAGAAGAACAGTTTTCCCCAGAAATGCTTAAGGAAAACTGCCTTCATAGGCCCAGATACATGGTGTTTCCCCTGCCTGGTAAAGTACTTAACTATAAAACACAAGAACCTACCACAGGAATAGGATTACTACATGAGACATATGGTTCTACCTATTAAGCACAGTCCTCCTCACTGCCATCTTTTTCAAAGACATGGTGAACCACTAAACTGCATACATTTTAACTTCCTCTTCACTCCCACACCTGAGCTCTGCCTTTCTGTCCCACTCCCAATTATTCCTGTTTCTTCACCAGCCTTAAATGCCTGCCAAACATCACAAAACAGTTCACCCAAAATCCCTCTGTTGCCCCCTCTCTCTACCAATGGGCAGTTTCCAGGCACTCCCCTGCTAACTCAACCTGCCACTCAAGTTCATGAAAAGGTTCAAAGTATGGAAATATAGATACCAATTAACATGTTCTGCACAAATTCTTCACCTGGTGTAAAGAGGACAGAACCCAGCAGCCCTGGAACAGTGACTCATCAATGTAAGGGTCACACGTAGCTGGCTTTTACTTTCATTTACATTTGGACTCTAGTCTCTCACTTTCCTATTCTCACACTAGCCAAATACACACTGTGGGGACTGCTAATACATGGGGATGTTTTAATCGCCAAAAACAGAAAGAATAGAAACATGCATTAAACAAATAAGTCTAATAGCTTTTTTAATCAGAACTTAACCATTGGTCTTTGTAGTGCCATTTTAAAATAGCTTAAGCATAATTAAACCCTTCAAAGTGATATTTTAATGCAAATGACCCTTCAATCATTTTATGTGAAAATAATTTAAATATGCAAGTCAACTTAAGTGCACAGCTTTTTGGTAAAGTATCCTGTTCTGTTACAGTAACAGTGTCATACAACCACTAGGAGTTCACTATACACACACACACCTTACATTTTAAACAGGGAAAAAACTATTTGTTGACAAAAAAAAAAAAATATTTCTCCAAAAATATCCTAAATGCACAGTAATCCAAGGCTACAACCCCCATAATTCATTCACATGTTCTGAAATACAAACATCTCATGCAGCTAATATTGGTTTATAAACATCAGACCACAAAACCCTTTAACACTGCGGTTGTCATCAGCTGCGTGTTTTCATTCTCAGCACTGTCCTCTCCACGTTGTGCTGAGCAATACTGAACACAGTGAGATAAATACATTCATATTTACCAAGACTGAAGTTTCCCTAACATCAATGCACTAGTTTACACTGGGCACGTCTACATGAGACGCTTTGAGCACACTAGACTAAACCCATGGCACATTAGCATGGTGGACAAAGTTAATGCATAGGCATTGAAGTAACGCACAGTAGATCTAGTCTAATGCAAATGAACAATCACTTACAACTGCTACTTCAATGCCTGGCAAAAGAAACCAGCTGACCTTTCTGTCTCAAATTCCTACTTCCCTCTATTTGAAGGGATGTGATAGAGGAATGTCTTCAACCCTGCATATAGAGAAGAATCACTTTACATACCACGGGGAGAAAAAAACAAAACAAGACAATAAAACAGTAGCCATTTCAAACAATTCCCAATACAATTCGTAGTAGTCAAATGATACTTTCCAGCTTAGTAGCCAAGGGGGAAAATACCATAATTTAAATATATTTTCCTCCTCAAGCAAGGTAGGCAAGCTCTAATTCATGCATTTATTTAGATTTTTAGCCAGAATATTATGATTAAACAGCCCCTTGCAACAGATACAGGGGAATCTTCGAGCGGTACATTATGCTCCTGAGAACTTGGCATGTCAACCTAAAACATTTCAAATCAGTAGTGTCTTGTCAGACAATGATGGGGTACTGATTCCATGTTTATGCACAAGGCACTATTGAAAATATTTTTTGCAATATCTAGCTTTTTCCTGGAAATGCGCCATCTTAAACCTCACTAATACTTTATATTGCCAAAATAATGCGTAAAAGCATAGAGCAACATGACAATTTTTGAGTGCTAATTATTGCTAAACCTTCAACCAACCTAAGTAGATTTCTTAACACATGGCAATTGTTTTAATTACATTAGCTGCCTGACACATCACCTCTTTCTTGTTAAATATTTCAAAGGAATGAAGGAAATAGCCTTCATCTCTATGGGGCAGGGGACTTGCCACCTACATAGTAAAACACTTTAATCACAACAGCAGAGACATTACAAATACATCACAAACATCAGTTAGTCCTTCACATACTCCATTTAAATTTTAAAGAGCCTCCATTGTGACACTCTCTTCAATAATACTGCTCTCTCTCTCTGAATACCTTTTTGCCTGAGAGAAGACAATACTCATAACTTAACACACATCTTTCCGTTTCAAACACGTGGCATTCAAGTGACTTCCTACTTATGCAGAACATTTGCTTTGAGGCTTATGCTCAAACTCATTGTTCCATAACACAATGGTATTCAAATTACCTTTAAAAAATGTAAAAGGGAAATTAAAATTGCAGTGCTGCATAAAAGTAAATTTCTATAAAAAGGTTTTATAGAAAATAAGTCATTCTGTACTACTTTTCTGTTAGTTGAGTTTTAATACCTTGTCCTATGGAAGCACAAGGTCAATTAAAAAATTAATTGCTGAGATGCATATATTAAAGGAAAAAGACAAGCTCCCACCTAACAGCTGTGGCATAATACTTCACCATGCAAGCCAGTTAGCCAGCCTGAATTCAGAGAGTCAATTTTGTGTGTACAGGATAGCCAGGCCTATTTTATAAATATACAAAAAAAATCTGACAAAACTCAACAATTAAGTCTTGATGAACCAGAATTTTAAATCAGCACATCTATACTGCATAAAGTTTTCCAATGCAAAATATCTAATAATACATGAACTAAACAAAACTTGTTTTTAGCAGAACTTATTTCCTGTAGTTTAAGTAACATTAATCCTGCTTTTAAATATATGAAAGAATTAGGCAAAAGGAAACTTCCACTTTGAAGGAAAAAAAAAGAAAGAGATACCAAATTGCAGTCAATGTTCGAAAACATTTCATTCTTTACAATTGTCAGAAAAACCAAAGATTAATATGAAAAAAACATTAGAAATAAATGAGAAAATCATCCAAATTGAAGACCTGTAAACTGTGATTTGTAAACGAAACCAATTCTGATTTGACTGACAAGTCGTAACAGGCATGATTTCATATAACGCCACCACATTCCCAACACGACTCTGAGATGCAACAATTCTATGACAAGTGCCTACTTTTCCTTTCAGGTACTTTTTATGAGGATTAAGGACAGTAAATAATCACATGTTCAGGACAGATAGGGATAAGCGCAGACTTGTTTTTAATGCAGACTTTCCCTTTTCCATGTAACAAGCCTAAATAAAACAAATGCATCCTTTGCATCAGAGGGAGAAGTACATCCTCATGCTCTCACAACTCACATTTAAGTGCAAGAACAATGCTGTAGCTTAATATGCACTTGATCTTGAAATATGAGTACGGTGCAGAACATACTGTACCCGTTGACACGAACTGTTCTCGTGTCACTTTGCTGAAGTTCACTTTGCAGTCGTGCAGCTGCAACTATCAAGCAGGAAAGCAGTTACTAACAGTTGAAATGCTTAAGGAAAAATGTTTTAATAACATGCTTGCTAAAAAGCCAATGTTTCAAAGTATGAAAGCCTTTATTTTCAAAGACCAGAGGCAATTCTGAAAGCTGTGCTGCGGTTGGAGTGCTTGTTTTATTTTTACAAAGGGGGTACACAGCGCAACAAAATTCTGAGACACTAGAGCAGGTGCTGAGTCAAATGTGGACTTTTTTCTGACATTTATTTCTCCAGGAAAGCTCAGCTCAGCTTTGTTTATCTGACTTTTCCAGAGGCCCTGCTTAATTTTCTGGCTTGGCTTAAAGGGTACAACTATTCACCCATTTCAGGTCACAGGATTTTAAATCCTCCAGGCTCCTAGCATTTGGATCTAGTCACAAGGGCTTTTTATCCTCTCACCTTGACAAGCAGATATTTTTAGTCTTTGATAGTACTTCCCAAACTTTCTGAATCAATGGATCACTGTCAATCCTATGTCAAGATTTCTTGTAGATCATCATGCACCCTCATCAAACTTTTATTTGGAACGGCAAGGAAGAGGCCTGTTGTGATCTGCAGACTAGCTGCCATGGACAATAAAGAAAACCATCATAAAGATCTAGCTTTCACTGGGTTATTTTTTCCTTAAGGAAAGTGCCTATTGTTAAGATTATGGTGCATTAAATTGTTAGGAGAAGTGTCTACCCAAAGAAAAAAAAAATAATGGAACTATTTAGACACATTTACTATGAGAGCCCAGTGGTTTTCAGCATTTTAGATTCAAGACATGCCTGGCTAAACTCAGGGCAACCCTCAGAAAATGCCAAGGTTTCGCTTTCACTCATTTTTTGACCATGAAAGAGTAACTGAGTAATTCTCTCTTTTACAAGGAACTCAGAAAGACCACAACAGGTTTGAATGTTTCTGGTGCTGTAGATTCCTGTAAGAAAACTCTGGGTTTAATCTTGTGAATCGTGTGTAGGTGTTTGACCACTTAGTGCTAATATTATGTGGCAGCCTGTGCCACCATGGCTAGAAATAACTACAACAGACTGCCTTGTGCCAAAAACAAGAACAGGGGCACAGGAGCAGGAACAGGAGATTGTGAAGTTATAAGTAGTAACATAAGGGAAAGGAGATTTTAATATCTCCGTTCAGATATCCAAATATTCTCTATTAAGAGATAACATTACCAGGGTTTTTATTAGACAATGTTTTGGGCGAAGTAAACAGTAATTACTAAGCAGTTTTCTAGTGGTTTTTTTTTTATTTTGACAGGTCAGGTAAAGTAAAATCCCTGTTATCTGGGATTTTACTAACTAGCACACTTTACTAACCGGAATTTCTGGCCGGCCGGATGCAGGGGGGCGAGGGGGGGAAACTCGCACGTGGTGGCTGCTGTGTCCACCTACTACCCTGCTCTGCCACTGCTTGACGTGTGCCTGCTGCCACCCGCCCTCCCCCCCCATGCGCAGCCGCCACCCCCCGCTCTGAGTTATCTGAAAACCCCTGCTGGGTTATTTTTACGTAACTGCCAATCCCCTCACCACGGGGATGCCGGAGATTTTACCACACTCACATGGATGCATGCGCCACAGGACCATTGCAGATTTCAAAGCTCTTTATAAAACCTCTAAATGGTATTTGTTTCACTTGTGGCCCAAGCCATAAATGTTGAAGCAAGGTGCTCTAGTATGTAACATACAGGCCTATCACTTCAGGCATTAGAAGTCCACTCCTTGGCCTTAACATTAGGAAGGCACATGAACTCTACCCATCATTTTTCCCCCTTGGTCTAACAGGTATAAAAGTTGATGAGTACAACAGAAGAATGTTTTTTTTACCAGATCCTGGTACCAGAGCCTGGAATGTCTTTCAATTCTGAAAATTAGTCCCAACCACTAAGGAGATTAACCAATATTTTCTACCAAGCTTGTTTCTAGCTCCACCCACATGGAAGAGAACGCCTAGTTGTAAAACTAAATTTATTTTTTAAATCTTTTACTGTTACTCTCAAACTGCTTATGTTTATAATGCAAAGCCATCATAAAGTCTGCAAGAAAGAATGTCTGGAATTCAAAAGCTTGTCTAACTTTAGCCCAACTACATAGTTAGCCCAATAAAAGAAATTACCCTATCAAATCCTTGCAAGAAATCAGACATTTTAAGATTAACAGACTCTTAAAAGGTATTTAAATACTTTAAATAACTCCTCTTTTTTAGTTGCTTTGACACCCAATTTTTTGAAAACAAATAAAGCTGCATGTGCTCCACATGGAACAGCACAATAAGCATGCTGGGCTCCTCACTGCTGCTACTCAGTTACTTGCTGCCACTTACCAATATTTTCAAGGAAATAGCTGTTTTTGAAAGGCAGAATGAAGGAAAACAAGGTATGTACCTTATTCAGAGGTGTATTGTACATGAGAAAGAAAAAAAAAAGAAAGAAAGCATCTGGCTTCTCAAGCTAGTTTTGCAACCCATACTGAGCACCATGCCACCACAGCTGAGCAGTAGAGATCTCAAGAGCTTAAAGCCCCTCTGTTATGTCTACAAAGACCGCAGCACAACAGTGTAAACGTGTAACAAAAACTTGAGAGATTGAGGGAATGAAGACTCTGAATTTCCTGAGGCTAGCAATCCAATTCTTTGCTATAACTAGGCCTTGCCCCTCCCATACCCACCGCTCCTATTCCTCTAATGAGTGAAAATCCTGCCAGGCCTGCCTATTTTTGTTTCCTACTCCATTTTATCTAATGCTCTATAGCCATTTAGCTTAAATAGATTCAGAACTGTGTTAAAAATCAAGTCAGTTTTCTGCTTAAAGTCAACAAAAAAAATACCTCGGCATTTTGATACTGTAATTCAGAGTAAGCGAAACTTCATCTGGTTCCTTTTGCAAAAAAACCCCCAACTTGGAAGTGTTTGAAAAAGCCCAGAAGACAAATTAGCCATCCATGATGATCACATTTTTCCCCTATATGTAAAACGTATTCAAAATGACCTGCGAAATGGTAACTACTTGCTCTAGAATATTTGTATTATTTTGGGTTTGATCATGTTCTGCCACTGCTTGTGCTGTTATTTGTGTTTTCATCACTAAGGAGAGCACACACTCACAGTTAGTCGATCATAAGCAGGGATCCAGGTTTCCCGTGGAAAAACGCGGATTTCCCCCTTTAAGGGAGAAAAACGTGTATTTTCCACTTTGAAGTGGGAAAACGCGGGTTTGCCCCTATTGCAAACAGCTCTCTACCGGCCGGCAGAGTTCCAGCTTTTAAGAAGTACTTGCAGAAGAGTGGGAAACCATAAGCCCTGTCCAGGCGGGGAGGGGCAATGCCTGAGAACTTGGGTTAGCCAGGGCTGGCTCACACTCACTTTCCCTCTGCCGCCTTTGGGGGCTGGGCCCTGGTGGGTAAGGGGTGGGGCACTGGGGGGCCCTCTCCAAAAGGGTGGGGAAGACCCCTGTGGGTCAGGCGAGGGTTGTGCTGCCGGGGGGCCTGGGTCAGCAATCACCCTGTCCTGTGCCATGGGCCAAGGCCGGGGCAGGCTGCCTCATCTCGCTGTGGCTCATCCCAGATGGGCTCAGGCTGGGGACACTGCCCAGCTGGGGCATAAAAGTGGCAGTAGCTCAGTGAAGGAGGGAGGGAGTACGTGCTGTGCTCCTGCCCACCAGACCAGGCACCCTTGGGGCAGGGTTGGGGACCGCAGCTTTGGGTGCTACCCAGCCAGGGTGGTGCCCGGAGGCCAGGGTGTTGGAGGCGAGCAGTGCCCATCCACTGTGCCGGTGGCTGCTGCTCTGCTACTCAACGCACCATATCCCACTGGTGTACAGCTGCATGGCTCCTGGCAGCTCTGCTGGGGTTAGCACTAGAGGTGATGGCTGGGGGTGCACTGTGTAGCAGGGCAATAGGCGGGGAGGGGGGGAAGGGAACAGGAGGGGAGGGGAGAAGAGTGGCTTGGCTAGGTGGCATGCTGCCCTGCCTGGCCTGGTGCTTTGCCAGCCCTGAGGGGGCTTCTGGTCCTGGGAACCACTCAGGTGAGTTGTGATGGGCTTGGGGGAGGCAAGTACGGGGAGATGGCAGCAGGGTGTGTAAGAGCGTGTGATGGGCCAGGGGGTGTGTATAAGGGAGAAAGATGGGGAGGAGGGGACACTCCAGGTAGAAGTAGTCTCCAGAACCAGGCCTGGAGCCCCCCTGACCCACTAAAGCAGCCTGTACAGGGGGAGGCTAGCCTGGAAAGGAAGGGAGCTTGCCCAGGCAGAGGCAGGCCCAGCCCAGCCCAGTCCCTGAGCCCCTGTCTGGGGTTTCCCAGGAAGGGCATGGGGATTGCTAAGACCTGGGCACAGATGTGGGGAGCAGAACAGCAGGGGTGGGCACTGCTCAGAGCCACAGAGCAGCCGCAGCTGGATCTGTGACCTGGTGCAGAGAGGGAGCTTACATTTCTAGGGGAAAAAATGAAGTGAGGCTGACTTCCTAATGACTTCCTGTTTCTGCACCGTTCAATCATGGAGTGTTACATGCATAACCTCAAATTAAGAAGTGAGAAGTAGGACTTCAATACTGTCCACGTCAATACAAAACGTATGGAGGGACCGACCACAAAAGGGAAATGAGTATGTCACTAATGTGTATGAATAAATGCATTTATATAACTGCGTATGAATACATATAAATAGAGCTCAAGTTATAATGCAAGAGAAAATTTTAAAATGAATATTCATTTCAAATTAAAAAGAAAATATTACAGCATATCAGTCAATTTTTAGGATTTGATGATTAATCCCGATTAGAATATTGTGCTATAAGTGCTAAGCTAAGGCTGCACCTGTTGCCTTTTCCATTTAAACTGCTACCTACATTTTGGTTAAAAAAAAAAGACATGTTCAAAACATGCAATGGGAAGACTGATTTTAAAAGCATATACCTTCGTATTATATGTATTAACAGGGTTACACGTACACATAACTAGCCTTAATTATGATTTCAACATCAAAAT